GTTGAAGTTGAAACTCCAATATTAGGCCACCTCATGTGAAGAACTGACTCATTGGAAAAGACCCTGATGCTGGGAAAGATTGATGGCAGGAGGAGAAGGGGACGACAGAGGATGAGATGGTTGGATGGCATCACTGACTCCATGGACATGAGTTTGGGTAAACTCCGGGAGTCGGTGATGGACAGGGAGGCCTGTCGTGCTGCGGTTTATGGGGTCACAAAGAGTCAAACATGACCAAGTGACTGAGCTGAATCAAACTGAAGACAAAATAATACATAGTCATAAAACAAAGTCACAGACCTTTAGTTCCTCCTTGAGGGTTATAGTTAATGTTCTGAGACCCCAGCCAAGTTGGAATCAGGTTGACAATGTTGACTCCCAAAATACCACCCGATTATCTCATTACCATCCAATCAGAAGAAGGTCCACAAGCTCATCAGGCACCTTGCTTCCCTCCTCCTTCCCTAGCATTAAAGCTAAAATTCTAACTCAAATTAAAATCATTCTTTAGAACATTAGTCTGTCATCTTCTCGGCTTGCTGGCTTTCCAAAGAAAGTCATTTTTCCTTACCCCAACTCCTAGTTTCTCAGATTACTGGCCTGTCATGCAGTGAGTGGTATGCAGTAAGTTACAGAAACACACAGAAACAATTAAACTCAAGTACTGAAGATGATTCAATTGGTCTCATCAGTCACATATGAATGAAATTATTTTAATCAACATACTGTATCTAAAATTAAATCTCTTAGTGATGCATTTTGAGCAGAATGAAAGGTCTAATCACAGGTTAACATAAAGAAACATTTGTCTCAAAATCAATGTATTTAATATTTGACAGAAGTCTCATTACCAAAATTCCTTTTACTGTTCCATCAGTGAAATTTCAGTATTCCCAGAGTCCCAAAGCAAATGTTTTTTCTTAATTTTCCAACAGCTGTGCTTTCTCTTCTTCTGGTCTATTTAGTAGAAAGTGAACTAACTGAAGTAAAACGTCATCATTAAAACCTTTGACATCATTATCTTCGATTGTTTCATAAAGAGGCTTACTTTGTGTTCCCCAACATATATTTTTCCGAGGGTTGTCTTGATCAGCTTGTGCAGTCAGTGCTAAGGTGTTTAACTGGTAACAGAAAAAGGAGAAGTATTTTCCATCTGTGATCACACCCTGGGAGACAAAAGGCCGAGTAACATCTGCTTCACTCCAGAATCCTGCAGAAGAAAAGTTATGCTGAAACTTATATATAGAATATATTTTACCAAACCAAAACACACACACTAGAGGACATAAAATACCTCCTATAACCTGGATATTTTACCTACCAAATTTCCAAAGATCTCAATGTTTTCACTATCTTCTCCACCCTAATCCTATATTCCATTTCTGCATCAAGAACTATTTCCTTCCAGAATTCTAGGATCCCCAAAGTTCATGATACACTTTTTCAACAACTTTGGACTTCATCAGATTTCAACCTTAACTCACTTCACCTGAGAAGTGAGCTCTATTTATGCAGATGTCTCCACATCATTATTCACCAACCCTAAATATGTTCGAATTTCCCTTTTACCAGCAGCATCTACCACCCAATAACCATTATAGACATTTATTTCATCAAATCTACAAAAAAAAAAGCCTTCAGAAAAACCCTTGACTTTCAAAGAACTTCAACCATGTAGTTATTAGATGAATTCTATGTCTTAATTTATAATTTAAAATCAGTTTTATGAGTTGTTTTCATTTTTCCTAGTGTATTTTATGTCATCATAAGGTTCCAGGATATCTGAATATCTTTATTATTCAAATTTTCTGGCTGTCTCTTGGTACAGGTTGACTGGCTTTAATACTTTTAAATTCAAGGGCCATGCAGTAAGTTGTAAATTTTGCCACATATATATTTTATATCAACTTTAATGCTGCTGCTGCTGCTAAGTCGCTTCAGTCGTGTCCGACTCTTTGCGACCCCACAGATGGCAGCCCATGAGGCTCCCCCGCTGAAGACAGCCAATAAACAGTATTGTTAAAATACAGAATTAATTATAATATAAAAAGTATTTTATTTTTTGTGAATAAACTACGCCATTCTAACATCTTTAAGAAAGTTTCCTCTTAATTTTTCTGATTGTCTACTGGTATTCCTACTCTTATCTACTTAGTTCTATTATAAAGACATAAGTCAACAATTGTGAGTATGAGGTTAAAAACACATATACAGAGAGGGGGAAAAAGATAAGGCTGGCAATAATTAAACCACTGTTAAAACTCCTCCTGGATGTTTATATAGCAGTAGGAGCAACCTAGGTATGCATTATATTACTTCTGGTTTTGCAACAAAAGTCAAGTGGTTCACAGTGGGCTCTGAGAGTCCTCTGTGACATGCCCCCAGCTTCCTCTATCTCACCCCAGCTCCCCATCCTCACTCTCCCACTCCCTTTCCTCACCAGCCTTCATCTGTTCCTTGACCACATCAAGTCTCTTCCTGCCTCAGAGCTACCTGTCATTCCCTTCGCCTGGGAGTGTCCTTCCCACAAGTTTATGCAGAGGCGGCTCCTCATCCTTCAGGTCTCTGTTCAAATGAAAATCTTTAGAGACCTCCCCCGGATTAACTCTAAAAGTCTAAAGTGATTCTGCCCCATGCCTCATTTATACCTGCACCCTATGCATTTTCTACCCTTCATCTAGTATATTCTGTTCAGAGCATCACCACTAGTTGGAACATTCCCTGAAGGAGGGAACGGCTAGCCACTCCACTATTCTTGCCTGGAGAATCCCCATGAACAGAGGAGCCTGGCGGGCTACAGTCCATGGGGTTGCATAGAGTAGGACATGACTGAAGTGATTAATACTTTCAAAAACACTACATGTTTACAATCTTTTACTATCCCTACTACAACATAAGCTCCAGGAAAGCAGGATCTCTCTCATTCAACACTGTATCTCCAAAGCCAACAGTGCCTGATAACCATAAGCCATTAACTGAATGAACTGTCTCCCAGTCTACACCCTAGATATGGTCCTCAAAGAAATTATACATGATAACTGTGATTTAATCTAAAATTTAATCCATGAAAGCAGTTCATTTTCTAGTTTCAGAAAGCTGTTATCATCTATAGAGCTGATTCAGTCAGCTAGTCTTTGAAATGTTTGAGAATATCATCAGAAAAAAATGCATTCACACAAAAATGGTCAAAGTAAAAGATGAGGGTAATTACCAAAGTGCCATTAACCAACTATAAATGCAAAATATTTAATTAAGGATTTTAAAACAACTGCATTGTGTGCCAATGCAAGTTTTCAAAATGTTAAGATTCTACCTACGTTTTAACCTAAAGAAAATAATTTGACCTGCTAAATTCTTAAAATGTCTTCCAATAACATTGATGCCATAAAACTAGTTTTACCTTGATACATAGCCTGTGCTCCAGTCCAAGCAAAAAGGCTTGCAATAGCATTAGCTCTAAAAATGACTTCTATCTGATCAGCACAGTTTTGTTTCAAAAGCCGTTCCCTTTTTAATTTGTCAGGTAGCAGATGAAACTGGGTATGTCCGTAACAGAGTGGATCTGCTGTCTTTGTGCCTGTGAGCAAAATAAAAACATTTCAGATGAAATGCACAAGTAGGGAATATAGAAACATGTCCTCAGTATTTACTTCAAACGCATATATTTCTCTACTCATTATATGATCAGCACTCAAAATACACGAATGGAAAGCTTGGTTTACTTACTGTTTATAAAAAATTTCACCTGAAAGTACAATCCGCCAGCTATCATCAGTCAAAGGAATATATGTAAATTTTATAATTCCCTATTATGTCAGTTTTCTCACACTCCTTGGTCATCATTGGGAGCTTTGTTTTTCTCCTGGTCATATTCACCAAAGGATGCAAATATTTCATAACTTTAAAAACTTCCCTTATAATGCTGACATTCTTGATTTTAGTGGAAAGTCTTTTCAACCAAAAGTTCTCCATCATTCACTCTCCAAGACCACCACAGTGATTGAAACAGGACTGATAAAACATGTTAGATAATCATGGGATTAATCTCCAAAATAAACAATTAGCTCATGCAGTTCAATATCAAAAAATAACCCAATCAAAAAATGGCCAGAAGACCTAAATAGACATTTCTCCAACAAAGGCATATAGATGGCCAAAAGTCACATGAAAAGATGCTCAGCATCACTAACTATTAGAGAAGTGCAAAAGAAAACTACAGTGAGGTACTACTCATATCAGTCAAAATGGCCATCATCAAAAAAAATATACAAACAATAAATGCTGAAGGCGTGTGGAAAGGGGAACCTTCCTACACTGTTGGTGGGAATGTAAATTGATATATTCACTATGGAGAACAGCATGGAGGTTCCTTAAAAAATTAAGAACAGAACTACCCTGTGACCCAGCAGTCCAACTCCTTGGCACATATCTGGAGAAAACCAGAATTCCAAAAGATACATGCATCCTAATGTTCATAGCAGCACTACTTACAAAAGCTAGGATATACAAGCAACCTAAATATCCTTCAACAAAGGAATGGATAAAGAAGATGTGGGGGGGGGGGGTGTGTATACATATGTACATGTATATGTGTGCACACACACATGCGCAATGGAATATTACTCAATCATAAAAAGGAAAAGAATTATGCCATTTGCAGAGACATGCATAAACCTAGAGACTTTCATAGAGTAAAGCTAAATCATAAACTATAACTGTTTTTTAACCTTAAATACTGTAATTCAGTAGAAACATAAAATTTCAAATGCTAAGTTGAGAGAATATTTTCTTTCAATTTTCAGGCATGTTGCAACCTGAGATGAGTTACATTGTTCATGGACAGGCTGAACTTCTTGGTCATCAAAAATTAGTTATGCACATTTGCACAAGACACTCTGAATACAATTATTAAAGGAGAAACTTACCAATAAAGATGGCATTTTCATATTGCCGTTTGAATAATGGGAGTTTGTCTGGCTTACAATTCTTAACAGGGACTTCTACAGGTACAGAATAATCCAGTGGCACAAACTTAAAGAAAAAAGTCATAAGTAAATTCACAGCAACACTAGCATATATTTACATTCTTAACAGTTAAAAATCTTAAAAATGAGATGCATTTACAAAATGATTAAACTCTACTATCTAAGGGAGAAGGCAATGGCATCCCACTCCAGTACTCTTGCCTGGAAAATCCCATGGACGGAGGAGCCTGGTGGGCTGCAGTCCATGGGGTCGCTAAGAGTTGGACACGACTGATAGACTTCACTTTCACTTTTCACTTTCATGCACTGGAGAAGGAAATGGCAACCCACTCCAGTGTTCTTGCTTGGAGAATCCCAGGGACGGCAGAGCCTGGTGGGCTGCCGTCTACTGGGTTGCACAGAGTCAGACATGACTGAAGCAACTTAGCAGCAGCAGCAGCAACCATCTAAAGATGGGCCAAATCTAGCCAGCTAACTGTTTTTCCAAATAAAGTTTTACTGGAACACAGTCATGTAAATTCATTTACATATGGTACAGCACTATTTTTACATATAAGAACTGAGACTGCAACAGAAACTTACGGCCCCTAAAGCCTAAAATATTTACTATTTGGACGTTTGCAGAAGAAATGTGCCAACCTCTTCCATGGACAAACAGATAACATTCAGAATACACTTGTTTTCTCCAAAAGAACTGGATACCTATAAAATGAATACTTCTAGCTATTAAGATGCCTCGATTTACAATGAGATAGGATAGTTCACTGTAAATTAAAATCATAAACTATCATCAGTATTTTTGTATTAAGAAAATGGAAAGATTGGTATGGTCCTATAAACTGATGCCTAACCTCACTTAAAATGATTATCTGACCTCTGCAGAATACACAGTTAAAAAGCTGAAAAAGCATTTCAGATGAGATGTACTCCAAATACACTTGAAAGGAAAGGGCTCTACCCAAAGCTTTTTGTCCTTCCTAACCCATTACCTAGCATAGGGGTCCCCGACTCCTGGGCTACGGACAGGTACTGGCCCCTGGCCTGTCAGGAACTGGACTGTAAAGCAAGAGGTGAGCAGCAGGTGAGCAAAGCCTTATCTGTATTTACAGCTGCTCCCCGCTGCTCACAATACTGCCTGAGATCACAAACAACAGTGGTCTTAAAAGTATGTTTGAGACAACTTCAAACCTGCCATATTTAGTTAAGGTAGAATATCAAACTGCCACAAAAGCCCTGAAAAGCCTACTTCCATTTCCAACATCCTATCTTTGTGAAGCAGGGTTTTCTGCAGTGACAGTAGGCAAAACGAGATTACAGAGTAGATAGGACATAAGTCACATGCTTTCGGAGGCACGGTCTCCCATCACCCCCAGATGGGACTGTCTAGTTGCAGCAAACAAACTCAGATCTCTCACTGACTCCGCATGATGGTGAGTTCTATAGTTATTTCATTATATATCACAATGTAATAATAATAGAAATTAAGTGCACAATAAATGTAACACACTTGAATCATCCTGAAATCATTCCCCACCAACTCCTGTCCCAAGTCCAGGGAAAGACTGTCTTCCACAAAAACCAGTCCCTGGTGTCAAAAATGTTAGGGACCACTGACCTAGCATGCTGATACTTCCTCCTCAACTGTGAACAGACACATGAGCAATACATCCTTACCTCAGGGAGTTGTCTGGATATTCGAATCTGGTTGTGTGGTTTATCATTTATTTGGTATCGCACAGCATCAACTCGACCTTTCCGATGACCACTAGGAATAATTTCTTCACCTCTCAACCAGTAAAAGTGAACTGGGCGGTTACAATCTATCAAAAGATATTCAAAACATTTTTATCTGATAATCTGAACCAATCTAGTTATTCTCAGAATACCAGGCTCAGCAATACAGAATTCAAGAACTGTGCTAATTGAAAATACACCAAAAATTACTCTTTGGTGTAAGTTAAAGTTTGAATTATGTGATAACGTAAACGATCACAACATAAACATAATGCTTAAACTGTTAGTATCTACCTGTGCCACAGTACATTAAGCGTTGTGACCAAAGAAGTTTCTCCGTTAAGGATAAACACAAAATAAGAGCAACAGCAATCTCACTCACCAAATATAAAAAGCTTAGTAACAGTCATAGCTGTCTCATGAATTACTAACTCAATCTTCACAATAACTCTCAAAGGTATGTATAGTTGTCATCATCTCCATTACATACAAGAGGAACCTAGGTCTTGGGCAGAATGTCAACTTTCCCAGGCCATCAATCATGAGCAAAAGTCTGTGATGCTTCCCTGGAGACCACTTCATTCCCAACTGACAGGGAAGTAACAAGCACAGTACAAGACTCAGTTGAACACACACCTACAGTCATAGTAACATTAATTCAATAAATATTTAAGATACCTACAGGGGTGGCAGATACAAAATCATGAAAGCCTTAGAAACACTAATCTTTAAAATACTATCCATTAATTAGTTTTCAAGTCCGCTTTTAACAGTAAAACAGAAGTTGCTGTTTATTGGAAACCCAAAATGACTGGGTTTGAAGCCTGTCCTCCAAATCTACCGGCAATAGGTTCTTCCACTAAATACACTTGACTCTGTGCTTTGGGTTTGTTTGGTTTTTATGAAAACAGTGCAACCTACTGTAAAGTTATTGTAAGGATTAAATTTGGCACATATAAAATACAAAACAAGGTCAGGCATACAGAAAGTAGTGAATATACGTTAGGTATTTTAATCAATCCCATCTTTAATCTTAACAGTTCTATGACCAAGTAGTACAATTATCGTATTCTCACCTTGAAAATGAGGAAAAACTAGGCCAAAATCGGTTTATAAACCGCCAAAAGGTCAGTAACTTTTTGATGGAAGAGCGAAAAGGCAACCCCAGGTCTGTCACGCTCTCTAGGAGCCCCTTCTCTTAACCAACACTACACTTTCTTTTGGCTGGACCTTCACTCAGCAGTAATAAGTTAGTAAGTGGCAGTACAGACACTACAATCCAGTCTTCGGACGCAGCCCTAGCTAGGAGCGAAAGGACTGGGAAAGAACTAAGCAGAAAGAAATGAAGAGGGGGCAAATTTAGCCCAGAGAGAGATGCCTTACCAGGCTTCCCAGGTGGCGCTAGTGGTAAAGAACCCTCCTGCCAATGTAGAAGGCAGGAGAGCCGGCTCCATCCCTGGGAGGGAAAGATCCCCTGGAGCAGGGTACGGCAACCCACTCCAGTATTCTTGCCTGAAAAATTCCACGGACAGAGGAGCCTGGCCATGAGGCAGCAAAAAGCAGGACACTACGGAAGTGACTTAGCACGCACCCACGGTCCCCTACTATGCCCACCTCCCCCGCCCCGATAGGCTGCCTGAGGCTCACCGAGGGCGGCGGCAGCCAGGACGGGATTGTGAGCGCTGAGCAAGCCGGTGAGGGAAGCTACCAGTTGGTTCAAGAAGGGTGAGGCGACGGTGTAGCGTTCCTGGTAGATGGGCGCACGCTTCTTGCGCCGCAGAAAGACGTGCTCCTGCAGGAGGCAGTCACAGGCGGCGGCGCGAAGGGCAGCGAGGTCCACAACCTGCGCGGGCGCCGGATCTGGCTGGGCAGGCGGCGGCGGTAGCCCCGACAGGAACACGGTCTTAGTGAAGCTCTGGTACCAGCGGTCAGCGTTCAGGGCGAAGGTCTGTGGGTAAACTACGTATTTCATGAACTGCATCTTGGTAAGAATTCGCAGCTTCTCGTCCACCGACTTGGCCGCGTGCACCGTGGCCTGCCATCGCTCCACTCGCCGCTGCCGTGCCGCCTTGCTGTCGGCAGTTAGGGAGGCCACGATCGGCGGGTAGCGCGCGACTGGGGCCGCCTTGACATCTGAGCCGGTCACTTCTGGAGCCGTGACGGCGGCCTCGGCCGCGGTGTGCAATGACAGCCCTGGACTACCGAGCACAAACCTCCAGCACTTGGTCGCCGCCATCTTTTCCTGGGGTTTGATCCCAGAAGTCAACTTTAGCAATTGTCCCTGCCTTCTTGACGTAAGGACCAATCAGAAGGTGGACTCTGAGCCAGTTTTGGGGCGGACGATTCTTAGTGGGCTTGAGAAGCCTTACGTCATTCACTTCTTAGCCAATCATAGAGCTCCTACAGCTTGGGTGTTTCGTGAACCTATGAGTTTGTTGTTGAAAGGAAGAACTCGTGCTCCGATAGGTTTTCCGAGATGTGGCGGGGAGGAGTGAAACTTTTAAATAGGGGATGCTGCCTGTTTAGAACCTATTTAGAAACGGCAAAAATTTTGCCAGAAACATTTTAGAAACATTCTACAGCGAAACCTCTTTCCCTTGGCTAAATTTGCTCGTTTCATTTTTGGATATAACATCACTTCAATTTTTGTTCTTGGGGTTGAGACCTGTTATTGAAAATACTGATCTAACATGTTTTTTCATACATGCTTTCTTTTCAAATGATGAAAGCATCACTCATAGATGACTAGTGCTAATTTTTAGGAAAATAATTCCATATCAATCTCTATGCTAGTTGATATGTAGTTTGTTTAATGATATAAGTCACAAAAAAGGAGTATATTTTTACTTGGGTTTAACTTTAAAAAAAGGAAATAAAAGCTATTATTGAATTGTGTTTAAGTTTTGCATTGTGTTAAAAGCAATGATTATTTCAACATAAATTGTTTTCTACTCTGTGAGCTCCTTGAAGTAGGGACTATTTTATTTTTGATTGTTCAGTGGCCAATCAACCTTGCAGAGTGGGTAGTTACCAAATATCTGCTGAAAAAATTCATCAAAATCAGTAAAAACTATTAATATAAGGTCATTTCAGGTGATTTAATTTATTGACTCGCATTCCTATCTTAATTAGGAGCTGGAATATTTATTTGGATTTACTGCAATAATCCTTGAGGGTATTAAAAACCAAACATTTTGTTACTAAAAGGAAGTTATAACTTGTATTCCTTTAAGCTATAGCAGGTGATAAGAATTTAACTCTAAAGTTGCGAGTGTATTAAACTGACACTTAGATACAACAAATTCATTATTTTTTTTTCATTAAGTCATTAATTTTAGAGCAAAGGTTGAAGGAAGTGAGGAGTAACTCATGACTTGAGAAAAGAGAATTCTGTCAGAAGGAATAGTTGGCACAGAGGCCCTGAGGTGGGGATATGCCTGAGATGGGAATATGCCTGGTGGGTTGAAGAATAAGAGGAGGGCAGTGTGGTTGAAGAGAAGTGATGGATGAGAAGAGTAGTAAGAAATTGAATTAGGAAGGAAAGAAGCCAGAATTTGTAGGTTCCTAAAGGCAATTTCTAGGATTGCTAGGACTTTTACCTAGTACTCAGAGGAGTGAGAATCCAATGGAATGTTCCATTCAGAGGGATGAATGGTGTGACTTAGGTTTTTTTTTTTAATTATTCTATGTATTAAGGTTTTTAATACCATAAGCTGGGGGACTTAACAACAAATTTATTTTCTCATGGTTCTAAAGTCTGGAAGTTCAAGATGAGGGTGCCAGCATACTTGGGTTCTGGTGAGAGCTCTCTTGGCATGAAGTCAACTCCTTACTTGCTGTGTCCTCACATGGTAAAAACAGCTCTCCTGGGCCTCTTATTATAAGGAGAGAGGCCTATCAGATTAGTGCCCTACCCTTAAGACCATGTTTAACCTTAATTTATTCCGTAAAACATCTATCTCCAAATACAGTTACATTGGAGGTTAGAGCATACACATAGGAATTTTAGAGAGACACAATTCAGTCCATAATACTCTGTTTTCAAAATAGATTATAAAGCATCAAATTTGGAAGCAGAGAAATCAATTAGAAGACAGTTTTCCATATTTCAGGCAAAAACTGAGTGACTTGAAGAGACAATAGCAGTGAAGGTAGTAGGAGTGATCATAGATCCTGAATTGAATGTAGGTAAGAGAAAGTATCTAAAGTTTGGGGCCTAAGCAGTGGAATGAGAAAAGGCCAATGGACAAGGAATGCATTTTTCCTTTAATCTCTCATCTTTTTTTTTGGAAGGGGAGAGGGCAGCAGGAAAGTGAATTTAAGATTTGGGGAAGGAATAGAATCTGTGAAACATATTTATCTATATATGTGTATTTAGTTGACATTCTCCTGGAAGAAAATGGATATTATGATCTTCCCTATTAAGGCTGCTACTGGCCTTAGATTTTAAGTATTATAGATAAGGGACTTCCGTGGTGGTCCAGTGGTTAATAATTCACCTTCCAATGCAGGGGAAGTGGGTTTGATCCCTGGTGGGGGAACAAAGAGCCCACATGCTCTGGTACAACTAAACCTTTCTGCCACAATGACTGAGCCTTTACATCCTAGAGCCCACACACCACAGCTAGAGAGAGGTCCACATGCTGCAACCAAGATCTGGCAACTGGAACCTGAGGCAGTCTAATAAATAAATATTAAAATAGTACTAAATAAAGTATGGTCAAAAGCCATGACATTCTCCGATGGCTTTTCAAAACCTGCTTAAGTTGTCACAGTCCTGGTGGTTCTATATCTGTGCTTATGCTAAGTCATTTTAGTTGCGTCTGACTATTTGCGACCCCACGAACTGTAGCCCACCCACAAGGCTTCTCTGTCCATGGGATTCTCCAGGCAAGAATACTGGAGTGGGTTGTCATGCCCTCCTCCAGGGAATCTTCCCGACCCAGGATACAAACTCACGTCTCTTATGTCTCCTGAATTGGCAGGCAGGTTCTTTAGCACAAGGGCTACCTGGGATTTCTAGTGGAATTGTGCCTGAACATTTTGTATTGAAACAAATTATTTAATTAAATTGCTATGTTTTTATTTCTTCCTATATTATAGTGGGGTTATTAGATAGATAGATTTAACTTTCTGGGTATAGTAGGTTATCTATAAATATTATTCCAGGACAGTAAAGTGATTGTTATAAATTATTGTTATAAAAAGGGAGCCACAGGTCTGATATGGTTGAGAAATTTTAACATATAAAGTCTATATTTATAGTTAGATATGAGGGAAAAAATGAAAATAAATGTTCTTTTTCCCACAGGTCCAACATATAGCACTTCCATGCATCTATGGAAGTATGTTGTCTTCCCTAAACCATTCTCTTTGCTGTTTTGAAATGTCTTGTTTGAGATTCAGGCTCAGCTCTGGCACTTTAACTTTCCTTATTTAGAAAACTAAGTTAATAAAACCCACCTTACAAGTTTGCTGTGGGGATTTAATGATGTGGCATATGTAAAATGATGCAAAACATTTGCCAAGTACCAACCACTTTATGTGTGCCAATGTTTTTAATTCCTTCAGCAATACTCTAAATCAGAGCCTAGATTTTCCTAAGGTAAGGGATTTATTTGCTCATGCTTATTAAGGGTCAGAACCGTCATTAAACAATGATCTATGACCATGAAGCCCATGCTCTTTACACTAGTGGTTTTGAAAACTAGAATAATGAGATCCAGGAATTCTTAAAAGGTGAGAAATCAGCTTGCTAAGCTTATGTGTACAATTCAGAAGTAATAGGAATTTGAAATAATATGAAATTTACCTGTATTTACTTAACACAAAATGAAAGATTTCAGAATCCTGTGCATTTATTTTGACTAGTCCATGAATTTTCCTATCTCACAAATAAACAATGAGAGAGAAACTGTAATATTTCCTTGTGGCCTCAAAAATCTTATCAGAGATACAGGAGCATAGCTGACTTTTAAGTTTGAGAAACTACAGAACAGGAGGTCATAGTGGACTTCTTAAAAATAATGTTGATGATCTCAGAGGAAAACCTAAGTCAACTCGAAAGGACATAGATTGTGCAGGGAAATGGAGAAAGTTGACTCATGTATATAATTGTATCATGTATACATGTATCATGTTATATATGTCAGCAAATAATTATGTATCTAATTCTACTTCCAAGAAATAAAAGCACTTTAACTTCTATGATCAGGATATTGTCCTCCACCGTAGTGAACAATTCTGAGGCATCAGTGTCCTAAAACATATAAAACAACAACAGCAGCAGCAAAATATGGTCATGGCATAGAATAATTCATTAAATGAAAAATAGCCATGGGAATCTACCATCCGTATCAATAGCATAATGTTACAAAAATTTTCTCACAGATTATGTCTTTAGAAAAATCCCACCAAAATGTTCACCCAGGTGCACTGTCAAATTGTGTAGGAAAAAGGTGGGGCATTTTTCTTATTGACTGATATTTCACATCATGATTATAAAACAGCACTGGGCTTTCATGTTACAGTGATTTGTTTTAAAAGATAAGAGTGGATCGAACCTATGGACACCTTATCTTCAACAAAAGAGGCAAGGATATACAATGGAAAAAAGACAACCTCTTTAACAAGTGGTGCTGGGAAAACTGGTCAACCACCTGTAAAAGAATGAAACTAGAACACTTTCTAACACCATACACAAAAATAAACTCAAAATGGATTAAAGATCTAAATGTAAGACCAGAAACTATAAAACTCCTAGAGGAGAACATAGGCAAAACACTCTCCGACATAAATCACAGCAGGATCCTCTATGACCCACATCCCAGAATTTTAGAAACAAAAGCAAAAATAAACAAATGGGACCTAATGAAACTTAAAAGCTTTTGCACAACAAAGGAAACTATAAGCAAGGTGAAAAGACAGCCCTCAGATTGGGAGAAAATAATAGCAAACGAAGCAACAGACAAAGGATTAATCTCAAAAATATACAAGCAACTCCTCCAGCTCAACTCCAGAAAAATAAATGACCCAATCAAAAAATGGGCCAAAGAACTAAACAGACATTTCTCCAAGGAAGACATACAGATGGCTAACAAACACATGAAAAGATGCTCAACATCACTCATTATCAGAGAAATGCAAATCAAAACCACAATGAGGTACCATTACACGCCAGTCAGGATGGCTGCTATCCAAAAGTCTACAAGCAATAAATGCTGGAGAGGGTGTGGAGAAAAGGGAACCCTCTTACACTGTTGGTGGGAATGCAAATTAGTACAGCCACTATGGAAAACAGTGTGGAGATTTCTTAAAAAGCTGGAAATAGAACTGCCATATGACCCAGCAATCCCACTTCTGGGCATACACACCAAGGAAACCAGATCTGAAAGAGACACGTGCACCCCAATGTTCATCGCAGCACTGTTTATAATAGCCAGGACATGGAAGCAACCTAGATGCCCATCAGCAGACGAATGGATGAGGAAGCTGTGGTACATATACACCATGGAATATTACTCAGCCATTAAAAAGAATTCATTTGAATCAGTTCTAATGAGATGGATGAAACTGGAGCCCATTATACAGAGCGAAGTAAGCCAGAAAGATAAAGACCATTACAGTATACTAACACATATATATGGAATTTAGAAAGATGGTAACGATAACCCTATATGCAAAACAGGAAAAGAGACACAGATGTACAGAACAGAATTTTGGACTCTGTGGGAGAAGGCGAGGGTGGGATATTTCGAG